CTGAATTGCTGAAACGTAATTAAACTCCCATTCCTTTCTCTCCTTATTAGCTGTATGCTGCAAAACATGTTTGATTTTCACTTAGTGAACCTTACTTATCAAGCCACAGATTCCTATTGCCCATTCCAAGTTTGCTCTGCAAGCAGGACACCAACTGACGTCAATGAAGATGTAAAAGAGGCAACAAATGTTTGCAATGTGTTTAGAAAACAAAGTTTTCCCTCTTACTGGCGTAGAGTCATCAGGTTTCATCCTGCTCGGCTTGCGGACAGGAGACAGCCAGCGGGACCGGGGGACAGGAATATACAACCTGAGATCACTGATGTCACGATAGGACTTGAATGATTTAAGATGTAAAAGGAGCCATTAACACTTGTAAATCACCTTTTCTTAACAGAGTTTGTATTTTAAAACTCCTTTGGAGCAGTTAGAGTCCTGTGCAAAAGTCACTGGTGTTCATATTAGGGTTTTTAATGCTTTGTTTTATGGAATTGCAGTCAGAAAGGACAGATCCTATCGAAATAATCCATACTTGGTCTAATAGTTTCAGTGTTTAATATACATTATTAATATTCCACTCACAGGTACAAAAATATATGACCAGATTCCTGCACAGATACAGCACTACCAAGAATAGACCAGACAAATAGGTTAGGCAGGCAAAGGTACTATGGAAAAATAGGATGGGATCTAGTAGGATCGTTCTCTTTTTAACCAGTATAGGTTTGGAAGTAGTTTTCCAAAAGGTTTCCATAAAGGCAGACAGGTTTCTAGTGGACCAACAAGATGTGAACATGTGGGAAGGGGAAGACAGTGAAAACACCTGCACATGGTCCTGAAAACATGGCAAAACAAGGACAGGGCTGCTCTGAGGAGAAACGTGAGTAACAGCACAGCAAGACATAAGGACACAGCATATAGAGCAGCAGTAGCAAAGTCAGCAAGTAAGAAGCAAGAATACACATCGGGACACAGATGAGCTGGATGAGGATAAAAGCAAGTGGACACAGGAAGGTCTGGGTGCAAGGAGAAGAGCTGCAAGCAGGGCTGCCTGCAGAACGAGATGAGGGATGCAGAATACAAACCAAAGGCTAAAGCAAACAAATAAAAAGTTATTTCCCTTGGTGGTATGTTGGCAAGCACACGAAGCAGTGGTAGTGACTAATGCAGCTCAGCACGCAGAGCTCTGCTCCCTGCACCTTTACAGCCTTGCGAGAAAGTCAACCACTGTGGTCATTTCTGAGAAGCTCCTATTTGCCATAAATTACCTCGCAGCGACAACGGAGGCACCACTATCTTCCCTCTCTTCCAAGCACCAGAAAAAAAAAAATGTATATTGTTACACACAGTACTGCATTATATCACTTAGATCAACCAGGTGGTAGGAGCTGACTTAGCACTACTGAAAATAACAGTATGATGGGGTCCCTGAAAGACATATAGGCTGAAAAACGGTCATCTGTAGAACTACTCTTGGGGTTCTGCTCTGCCTGCGACACCCTGCAGCTCCTACTGTAATAATCCAAAGTCTTATGGCAAACATGGGTGAGGCCGAGAAGGTGACTATTCCCTCACCTCCTAGCTAAAGCATCTCTGTACTACCCAGAAGTTATGCAGAACCATTTCACAATACTGTTGATAACTTGGCCTATAAAATAAAATATAATGATGCATGCAGAAGTTCTTTTTGAGAAGCCCTGCGAGTGACTGTAGGAAATCAGCAAAGAAGTGGTGGCTTTTGCCTATGGAGCTTATCAATTTACTGGTTTGGCCGCATAGCCACGGATCAGCTCCATGCAAAAAGGGAGTTGGACGGCATGAACACCCCAGGCTCCCTTGCAGAGCGAGGCCGCCAGGTCCTCCGGAGAGGCTCTCCTCCAAAAGCTGCGGGACCCTCGGGCTTGCAGAGAGCCCATCCGCACAGTCTGCTCTGCGGAGGAGGGAGTGAGCTCGGAGCCTTCAGCCTCGCACCAGAGCCGTGCAAAGATCTACAAGTAACCCGATAAGCCAGAGCAAGCCAAGGCAGCACAAACCCTGCCCATGCAACGCGGCCTGTGGCTAGCACGGCGCCCTCCACACGGGGAGGACCCTCCTGGCAGGGAGAGGCGCCTCTTCGTCCTCGCCACCCGGACCACGTCCTGGTCCTGGCTGCGGCAGGACAAGCAGCTTGCCCGGTCACGTACCAAGTGCTAAATGCACCTCCGCGAGCGCTGAGCGCGCCCACCAAAGAGGGGAGAGCAGCAGGTTCAGCCCTCCTCAGCCTTTCACACAGCAAAGTCCAGAGATTTGCCATGTTCTGACCTTCCTTCTCTCCTCCCAAAGCGAGTCTCCTCTAAACCAAGCCTCATTTTCCAACCACAGCATTTCCTTTCCCAAAACTGCCATAATTCAAAGGGTGCAATTACAGTCAAAAGTGACCTCCCCCCCCCCAAACTCTTGATGCCAATAAATACTTCTACTTCCCAGGGATTCTCCCCTGCCTTCTGTTCTGGCACCCGGCTTTTCTCCCATATTTCACTGTCACAAACGTGCAGCCACAGAGCCGCACGCATCTTGCCCGGCACGTCTGTGACGCCACCGTGCTGCACTTCCCTGCCTATATGCTCCATATGGGCTCCCGATGACTCGCTGCCAGCCCCATGTAGGACAAGGGCCTGCAGCCTGGCACAGAGTGGGAGACGTGCTCGGACTGCACGTGCACTCGCCCGCAGAAATTAATAAATCATTACTACAAATTCAAATATTAAGTTAATGATGTGCATGACTGCAAGTTACAGAGCTGGAAAAGAAGTCCTAATTAAATCAATAGAGCTATTAGTCCCTTGTCACCTCTGATTAATTATTAGCTTAATATGCTTCATCACTTCCCTTGCTCATGGAAATAGCTACAGTGCCACCAGGAGAGGCAGTGCGATACGTCAGAGCAACCTAGAGCCGCGCTGCAAGTCACAGCACAACTTCTTCCAGAGAAAGAGGGGGAAAATGGGCTTCATTCCCTAGCGTAGAATTCTGGCAACACCTAAGGCAGAGACAAATCTCCTGCCTTCAGCAGGGTCTCACATTGAGAGGCAGTTCTTGGCTGCTGAAATGTAGGAGGAGAAGACACAGCTCCTAATCCCGAGCACTTGTCCCAGTGCCCCCCAGCCTCTCTCAGAGCTACATGACAGCACCAAGGGCTCAGGTAGCTCCCAGGAGCCGGCACCTTTCCCTGGAGCCAGCCCAACGTGCCCCTTGGTGCTTCTTTGCTGCAAACACTTGTTATCCCAGGACACCAAGAAGGAATTGTCACTAAATGACCTGGCAGCCCTCAGTGCTGAAGTGGAAACGTCAAAGTTCCCAAACACCTCTCTGGCAATAAAACCCAGAGCTGCTAAAGAACAGGATGGAACTACAACATTGAACCACAATACATGGATCAGTTAGATGTTTAGAAAGGAGTTTCTTTGTATGAGGAGCTTTTACAAACAAGAGGTTAGCACAGCAATGCAGAGATGCGCTTCTGAGAACAGAGCTGCTCCTTGCATTTATTAAGGAAGCGGGTGCACAGCATCATTGCCGCTAATGGGCGGCTCAGTAAATTAAATGGGGAATGTCACCGTAAAAATCAAATGTAAACTTTCCCAAGGATAAAGAGCCATTGCCATGATTTCTCCAGGCACTCCCAAATTCTCCCCATGATTGTCGCTGATAAAGAGCCACCTGCCCCATGAGCAATGGCAGAGCTCGCTAGTGTCAGGTTATCACTCAGCCCTCTTGATACAGCTGTTAATGTACTATGATAACGGTTCATTTCCCCTTATTTACTCACTTTCCTTTTCAGATTACAGCCCTATACTTGCATATTTTTAACGAACAAGTATACACAGAATGACATGCAGAAACCTTGTCCCCCACTATTTAGATGTAAAGTCCAGCTATTTTGTGTCAAACATTAAAGAAATAGTTTGCTTTTCATTCTGAACGCTCTGGCTAGTCCCTGGGTCTGTGAACACACAGCATCTCTTTCAGAAATGGGCTGAACTCCAGTGAAATATTCGGCCATTTAGTGAGCAGGCTCCAGGATAACAGTTTTCGTGGGAATCCAAAAAGAGGGAGTAAAGCAAAGGGCTCCCCGTGCTATTCTTAGCTGCAAACAGTTAGATTTGGAATTTTGATTGTAAAGCATGGAATTTATAAATGGTGCCATGCTAAATTTACTTCATTTGTATACAACTCAGCTGGATAATCAAGTGTGCTACAGTATGTTCCTGGTTAGCATCTAACTTCCTAGTTTTATAGCCTTGAAACTAGTAGAAAAATGCATTCAGTAAATAGCGCTTATAAAACTTGCTTTCCAGCGTGTGCATGTGAAGGTTTTACATACAGTGTGCGTGTACACGAGCTCACACACACTGTGCATGTGCACGAAGGTTTCACGTAAATCCATATGCGCTGCACACACACACACACTCACCCTGGGTTGTGATTTATCTCTCAAGGGAAGCCAAGGAAATTCTCACCCCCTACCAGTTAAACGATCTGCTCTTTGGCTCTAAACAGTCTGGAACTTCTCCGCCAAGGAATGTATTTTCCCTTTCCAATATATATAATTTATCTTGCTGCACACATTAGTTAATGATACGGGGATACATGATTTAGCCAGTTCTGTAAAAACGCTACTGACAGCCCGACACAGACCTATTCTATTTTGGCAAGTCCTCTCCTCGCCAGGCTTCCCCAGAGCGGCACAAATTAACAGCAGTCACCAGATTGAGCATTTATCTCCTATCCTTCATATCGCGGCAATTTCTCATCCCTCGCCCGGCTCCGCGAGCGAGGGGAGTGCTTAAGCGCCGTATTTATTTAGGCAAAGATGACTTAACGCCGCTTGGCCTGGGGGCAGGGAAGCGGGACGGCGATTCCATTTCAGCGGCACGTCCAGCCCGCGGCTCCCGGGTTATTAAAAGCAGCAGGTAAAAGGCGCACGGCGATCCCCGGCCCCCGCGCACCGCTCCGCTCACCCTTACGCGGTGCCCAGGGCGCTGCGGGCGGCAGCCTGCGCAGGTGGATCTCATCCTTATCCATGTCCTGCCCGCGCGGCTCCCACTCGGTGCCGATCCCGATCCCGCGCGGGTCCCTCCTCCTGTGGCAGCCCCCGCGCGGGGTCCCGGCGGCTCCGCGGCGCCACGCGCCGCCCCCCGGCCAGCAGCGGGGCGGGCTCCGCGCAGCCACTTTAAATAAGGGCGCCGGGGCCGGGCGCGGGCGCGCGCCCGCGGGAGCCGGCCCTCCGCGTCACGCGCAGCCCGCGCGCACCGCGCCCCGCCCCGCCCCACCCCGCGCGCCCTCCCGCGCCCTCCCGCGCAGCGCCGACCTGGCCGGCACCGGCACCGGAGCGGGAGCGACAGCGGCAGCTGCGGCGGCGCCCGGCGAAGGTCAGCGCGCCCTGCGCGGCCGCGCACCCAGCGGCGCCGCCTCCGCCTCTGCCGCGCGCCCTGCCCCTGCTCCCCGCATCCTTCCGCCGCTCCGCTCTCTGCCCGCGCACGGCCACGCGTATAGAGGGATTTTTTAAAGCACCCCTTGGGCTTGTTCCGAAGAGAAGCCGTAACTTGGGGCTAGAGAGCAGTGGGACACCTCCCAGCGCCCCGCTGCCCACCCCGCTGTGGCCAAGCCAGCGTCCCCCTTCCCGGGGGGATTTCTGTGGGGCTGCGGCTGTGGAGGACGCCGAGCTCCACCGGGAGGGGCTGCTCCCCCCACCTGCTCCCTAGGGATGTCCCCACACGTAGCCCCTGCAACCCACGGTGCTCTGGGGTGCAGAGACGCTGCACTCCCTCAGCCAGCGTTGGGCTGCAGTGTCCATGCGGGAATGGGAGAGCTCTGCCCCGGGCTAATCTCCGTGTCCCCTGGCCCCCTCTCCTGACACCTCCCCCTCTGCCCGGTCCCAGGCTGCGGAGCCAAAATCCGCTGCAGAAACGGTGTGCCCTGCTGAGCCCTTTCTGTGGCTCTGAACTCCAGCAGAAACTCAATCCTCACAAGTGTGTCCAAGGTGGAGACTGGGATAGGACAGGGCTTCAGAGCTCTGCCAGAAAGAAATGCATCCACCAGGAGCAAAAATTTTATAACTTCCTGCAGGCAGCCCATAGGCACTGAGTAACTGCTATTCCCAGGCAGGCTCCTTGCACCCTTGGCTCCCGATCCGAAACCTGGTGGATGGGCACAAGCACTCTGGGCGCTCGTGGGCAGGTGGATGCTCTGGTCTGCTTTGTAAGTCTTCATGGGCCAGGCTTGCTTAACTCTGCATCAGGAGCATTTCAAAGAGATCTCTTTTTCCTTGGCCTAAAATGAGTTTAGTTTGGATGGAGATTTGCAACAGAACCAAATACGGGCACGGGACTGGCATAAACGTTTGCTTTATAGCTCCGAAACACTAAGAAGGCTGGGAGCGATGCTGGACTCTGACACCTACCTCGTACCGAGGAGTCCCCAGGTGGGCAAGCCCCAGCCGTGGATGTACCACCCGCATTCGGAGCAGAGCTGCTCCTTGGTGCATAATTAGCCCCATTAGACCCCAATTAGCCAACGTGGTCTCCTGCAAAACGTGCGGGTGTCTCCAGCACAGCAGTGGCACAGGGCACGGGTGCTGCCCTCCCTGCTCGGGCGGCCAGGGGAGCCCAGGGTAAGAGCCCGTGTCCCCGGTGGCCACCGCGCTGCTGCAACGCGGTCACGAGGGCCAAGCAAAGGCCGGCCCGGCAAGCAGAGGCTCCCGCGCTGGCACGCGCACAAGTCAGTGCATACAGTGGATATGGAGCGTATGTAGGGGGCCTGGTACAGGACATCCATGGAATCACAGCCAGGTGCGGAAGTGAAAAACACAGGGGGCCATTAGTCGTATGATAAAGACTAAGGCATGCCCGGAGAAATAAGCAAGTGGCCATATTAAAATAACTAGAAAGTTTTATTTTTTTCTGTGTATTATACTGACTATACTATATGATAATTATATATTATCGAATAAATAGGAATAGTAAAACTGTGGATGCACAGCATCATTACGTTTTCATGCAATACAACTGAAGTCAGAAGTGTAGGGGTTTTTTAGGAAAATTTTATGAAGAATAGGTCCAGTGGTATCTATCAGAAAAGCAGTCTGGATGTAATTTTCAGCTTGGTAAGCTCTTAAGTCTCTGGCTGTTAGAAAGGCATCTGTGGGGAAGGATGTTCTGTTTCTTATCTTCTTTCCTTGCTGCTCACCACTGACAGACCCTGGGTCCTGGACTAGATGGACCTCAGGCCTGACAGAACAGGCTAAATCTTTTGGCTCTTTCAGTACTTAGCATGTGTAAAGCACTAATGCACCTATAGCACAAAATATTTTAGGGGCTGTGAGATTTCCTTTTGTTCAAGCCTAGTTCTATATTGAAATTAGTAAGTGAATACTGCTAAAAGCATTATATTATTTCCTCAGTGCCTCAACCTTGCAAATGCTTCTGCGTATGCTTATATTTAGTGGTGTTTCTGTGAACTCTATGGTTAATTTTTTTATGCTTCATCATTTTCTGAAGCTGAGAAAAAATCTTGAAGTTTGTAAGCAGCAACGTCCAGCATGTCAAACACGTGGAAAGCTGAATGCAGCTTAAGAACCCAATCAGACAATGTCCTTCAAAAAAACCCACACCGCTTTGCAGGTTTTAGCCTGTGCCACCAAGAGGTAGTGTTTGGGGGCCGTCACTTTTTCCCTAAATTAGAGAGGAATCAGGATGCCTGTTTTTCACAGCTTCAGCCACAGAAGAGGAGTGAAGGATACAGTTCTCCTTCATGAGAGAAAAGCGTTGACAACCAACCAGCCTGCTCTGTGCATGTGAAAACCCTCAGTCTCCCACAGTGTCCCCATGAACTGGTGTTACCAGCTGCTCTGAGGCACCGTGGACAGGCGCAGGGTTTTCCCATTAGCACTGCCGAGGAGTTTCCACGCGTCACCGTGCAGGAGTCGGGGGAACTCCCGGCTCTGCCTTTCTGCAGCTCGCAGTTGGAAATAACGCCAGCCGAGAGGGCGGCCAGCGCTTTGGAGTTAATTTGGGAGATGCCGTAAGGCTGCGGGGAGTGGCGGGAGCCGGCTCTGACTCACGGCCGGCTCGCGCCTCCCTCGCTGCTGGCACAGGGGAGCTCTGCCCACCCTGCACCTCCGTCCTGGTCCCGCAGACCAGCGGGCTCCGTGCAAGCCTGTTTGCAGATGTGGAAATGTCTGTTCTCTTTGATCCGGGCCGCTGGAGCTTCGGGGTCAATAGCTGCTGATGTCTCCTGCAAGCAAAGCTTCAAGTAGCTGTGGTTAGAAAAATAAAAAGAATTTAGATATACCTTGTTATTCCTTTGTGGTGCACGGTGTAAAGCCAAAATCAGCCCGCAGCCTGTGTGCCTGTAAGCTCCAGTTGCATGCTATGGCCTGCCTCTCTGTCTTAGCTCTTAAGCAATGAAGGGAAGAAAAGATTTCCTGCTAAAGGTGGCTTTTATAGCTTCAGTGTCACTGGGATCATGTAGAGAGTAAAGGGGCGAAGTATTTGCCTGTGACTCAACACGCCACTTTTTACAGCCAGTGTCTCCCTAGGCACGCGTGCAGTGTAGGTGTTCCAGTATGACCTCGCTTCCCAACCCCAAATTACTGCACTATTCATACAGGAAACAGTAAAATACCTTCTTACAAAGGAGCACTAACAACAATTCAAACTAACACCCTGTGAGTGGCTCAGGCCCCAGGAGGCTGCAGCCCGTGTGCTACCCCTGATGGCACGGAGGCATTGGGAACAGCGCTGCTGCAGCCTGTGCGGACCGAGAGGCGGCAAAGAGAGTTGCTTCTTAAGGCTTTGTTAGCACTAACTAGAGCTTTGTCCCCAAACTTCAAGAGTTTTTGCATGTTTATGAGTTAGGACCTAAATATTCACAGTCTCCTTACTTACCAGCAGATATGGCACTGAAAGAGCTTGAAGTTGGACTGGCACTAGACATTGCTGGCCACTAGAGATTAGACCCTGACATGCTGAGAAATTTGACAGCACCTCCAGAAGGACGTGTTGCTGCTCCCAGCCCCTCCACGTGAGCACTCAGGACTCCTCTCACCATCCCAAACCAGGCAGTTACTGCGAATAGCAGAGATCACAGCCAGCAGCCTGCACCACGGCGACACTGCTAGGGAGGAGAGCGATGAAGAAGCAAAAAACCTGCTGGCAACAGATGTTAGTTACTCGTTTTCTTTTTAACTGTCACCTCTTTCAATATCTGTAAGTTATCTCCAAAGTGGTGGCAGTTTAGCGCACACAGAGTGACACCAGGCAGGAGGCGGTGGTGGTTCTCTGGAGAGGGGGGAAGCCAGGATCTGGTTCAGGGCTGTGAGTCAGTGGGAAGTTGAGACGGATTCCGCAGTGTTTTCCGAAGTAGGAATGTCCAAGAACCTGCATGAGAACATTTGGGGATGACGAGCTGATTAAAGAAACAGTTGTGTTGGCTTTTCCAGCTTCCAACCTGAGGACAGGTCCCGAGAGGAAGAAGTACATAAAAGAACTGGAAAGGAATGCTTTAACGTGCCATCATTTATGCTCATGTACATATTTTTGACTAACAGCGGGATCCCAGAAAGCAGACAGACGTTCTTACATTATGCTTTGAATTTATACAAATCCAATCTTGCAGCAGTTTCCCAGCGAGAGCAAGGCCAGCGCACACCTCACAGCAGTGCATCTGCCAGGACAGCCAGCGTGGCTCTCCCCAGCTCTGTAATTACCAGCAATGAGCCTGTTTCTTCAGCTTTCATCCCACCTGCCCTTCCAGCCCCAGCAGATCCCCATAAGCAGAGGCATTTGCACAGATTTCTGGCGCTTCATATACTTCTCGAGGTCAACCTTTGCATATTCCCTTTCCAAACTGGAGACTGCTCTTAAATTTGCTGGATTCCTGTGCTGAGCTTGGACAGCTGCCACCCACCCAACCTATGGCTCTCGTAACGGGATGTCCCAGCCTGGCGGCTCCGTGGGCTGCTCTCCTGCTGAGACGCTTCATCCTAGAGCCCCAGCCTAGGACAGACGTGAGGGAGGCAACTTCTGGCCATAAACCAGGATCTCGATGAAATATGTGCCTGGCAGCATGTCTGCTGATCCAGATCCCTCTGTGTTCCTGCTGGGGCTGAAAACCTGTGTTCCCATACAAGAACAGGGAGGAGATCTTGTCCTTAATTGCTGTGGACGTGCCTTTTCCCCTATAAGCCGCTACATCACATTTCATGGTGATAAAATAAAAATGAGACATTCATATTCATTTCTTGTTTGCAACATCTTAGAGGCAGATTGAGATCCTATGGAGAGGTGCCAGCACATATTTGGAACAAACATGAGAACAATACAAACCTGAACAGAATGCAATAAGGAGAATAAATTCCAAGGTTCTTTCTTGCACATTTGTTCTTTCTTTCTCATTTAGAAATCGGTTTACTGTAAGCATATTAGAATCTTTAATTTATTAGCATTTTTGGTTACATCTGAAAATATCTTAAACCATTTTTGAAAAATGATAAACTGAAAAAGTGTTTTCATTTCTTAAAAAAAAAAAGCTTTAAAATACTTTTTCTTTGCCTTAATTTTCATGTTAAGGTCTTCTCCATGAATCTCATGACTTTTATAAGATTCATAAACACAAATGATATTTATCATGTTCTTTCAAACACAAGGGGGCACCAACATGCTAGTGGAGCAGGACAGAACCTCTTCACCTGTGGTAAGTTAGAGGGAACTTAAAAACATTGATATTCTTGTCAGACGAGACAGATTTTGAAAATAACCACCCTTATCATTTTTTAATATAGGAATATTTGTGGTGTTTGTATCAATTTTTACAGCCTCTTTTTGATTTCTTTGTATTTCCTTAGTGAGGCAGACTGAAAAGGTGGTCTTGGAACACAAGTTAAGACCCAAACATTCTTAATTTAGTGTAATCTGGTCTAGTAAAATAAGCTCCCATGCATATGGGAGCATGTGGGACTTGTCCCAGCGCGGAAGCTGAGCACGAGGCTCATGCACCTCTTCCTCCCAAGAGCCGGGCTGCGATGCTCCGAGACCTATCGCTACAAGAGGGTGATGGAAGATCTGAACGCTCAGGTCTCCAGCTGCTGAGCTTCTGCTCTGCTCTTCTAGACCCACTGCAGGCTCCTCAGTCAGGTTTTCAGGTTACATAGGCAAAAGACAGCCCTTTGCAAAGGAATGAATGAAAACAAGTCATCTTGGGGACCACAGCGAACTGCTTTGGTTTCCAGTTCTGTGTTTTGCTTTTTGACTTCAGACCCAGGAGTTTCCTCCTCAGGCATTTCCTGCTTTGCTCGACCTACTCTGACTCCTCCTGGGTTTTGGGTGTCCTTGTAGTTCCCAACATACTTATCGGCCCAGCATTTCCCTCTTCTCAGCCCACACGAACACTGCTTGGACGAGTTTTCAAAGGAATTAACACTTTGCAGGTGAACTTTGGGTCTTGAAACAGACTCCCCTGACAGAGAGCTCGCTCAGGCAGGAAGCCCAGCTCAGCAGATAGCAGCTGCAAGGGGGAAAATTAAGCTGCTGCAAGGGACACGCTGTTTTTGCTCCTTTTCATTGGCAGCTGAGCCCTGCATAACCCTGTATAGAGTTAAAATAGGTTGGCAATGTAGTCATGCCATACATTGGACAATCATACCATTCGTATGATGAGACTCCAAATATGACAGTTTCAAGCTATTATTCTGCTTGGGAAAAATCATCCCACAATGACACAGATCTCCCAGTTAAGATTTTCCTGATAATTTACCATGTTTGGGCCTGCAAAGATTTGCTTTCCCCATTCTCTGTATCCATGCAGCTTAGGAACCGCCTGTTCACGGTCATGCTTATCTGTCTGCTGAGCTTAGGAAGAACTTTCTGGCAAATATCTTGCACTTTGTGACTTTCTGCACAACAGCAGGGATGGGGATGGCTGTGCAGGACAAAAGGTAGAGGGGACAGATCATAGACATCAGGGCAGGGGCAATGCTGTGGCAGAGGGGCTTGGTGCTAGAGCTACCCCCACATATATAACCTTTCCTGCAGTAGCATCACACATGTTGAATTTTTGGTCCAGATAACCTCCAGTTTGCAGGTGTGAAAATGTTGCTTCTCATTAGCCTTTGGTCTCCCTCATGCAGGCAGAACAGACAATTTGTGTTTTTCAGATGGAGAAAACTCCTTGGGTTTTGTATATATATCTGTGTTCAAGAGAACTTGTAATGTATTCTTTGTATTCATCATATAATCAAAAGGTTTTTGTTATTTAAAGAATGGTTTTGTGGATAAAACACAGGAATGGGAGTTAAGAGATCCAATTTCTTCTCACACTTCCAGCTAAACGCTATGTTTACCTCATATACTGCCAACAACAGGCACAGTTACTACAAAAAAAAAAAGAAGCCATCACTCCTGCAAACCCGAGACTTTGGAAAGCCTTGCCTTTCCAAGCTTAAAAATCTAGTGACCTCCAACTGCACTTATCAGCCCCTTAAATCAGGGAAATCTCTTGCTTTAAAAAGTTTAGCAGACTTTGTAGGTGTGTGATGGTTTTTTTTTTTTTTTTACTTTCTTAATCTGAAATTGTCGGTGGGATGGAGACAAAGTAAAGAGCAGATCGATTTAGGAGTGTCCAACTCTTGCCTAAGCCAAATCTTTCTCCCTTTCTTTTTACTTAATTCCACAAATAGTGGTGGTTTTTGCTCACATTATGCCACAGGCCTTCAAATTGTATTTACTGTGCAGACATTTCTTTGGGAATGCTGGTGACAGCGTTAATTCCCATATATGTTTCTCACTTGAACCATTGCCTATTATCCTTACAATTGTTTTTATATTTACCTACCCTTTTCCCTTAGTTAAAAACGTCTGAATCTTTCTGCTTTCCTTCCATTATGTTCTTTCCTTCTTCTATCTGCAGATAGTTTACATGTGCACCCTAGGCTCCTGAGATGCCTCTGATAGGTGCCTTACATTAAACATGACTGGAGCACCCATCTCTGCAGTGTATCCAAACAATATACAATGCTGGTGACAACACCAGGGAGACCAGCCAAGGACATCAGACTAGTCTCTATCATTGCAAAAAACGTCCTGGAATTTTTAATATTCACATAAAACATCTGTTTCTCATCCATTCGTGGTACTTAATACATCTCCCTCCGACCTATGAATAGATTCTCTAGGGACTGGGACACATCATCCTCAGGAAGCAAGGTAGTCCATATATGAGAATGTGGTCCAACATGAATAGTTTTTGGTAGCAATGCTAGCTTTGGCCATCGTGCCTCTCTGCCAGGAAATTGCACTGAATGAAGAAAAAAATGTTGTTTCATTTTGTTTCCCGTTCCTCGGACCACAACACGACAGCACACATGCTGGTGATGGGGAGGCAGCTCGGGGAAGGGGGAAGAGCAGGAGGCTATTTATGACACCCCAACTAATCCCGCTGCCGAATGTGGAACTAGAGCCCAAAGCGGAAGCAGCACAGAAAAGTTAGAAGTTGTCCTGCTGGGAATTTCCACAGTATTCTGTGCATACTGCAACTTCCAACACCATGGATGTCAGAGTTGATAAAATTTCGTTTCAGGCAAAAATGCACACTTTCTGAACTTTATTTTATTCGCTTGATTTATAATATAAATTAAAATGTCAGCAATGCCATATATTGTTTCAATCAACCTGAAATACAGCGTTCTTTCCAAAACACAGAACTTTCCTGCAGACAGGAAATTCTATTACTAACCAACCAAGCAGAAATAAAGTCAAATGATGAGTACAACCTGGCTTGCTTTCTGTTATATTTTTAATTCTACCTGAGCGAATGGAAAGACTAGAAAGAGGTTTTCTCTCATATCAGGGTAATGCTGCCACAGGACCTATAGTGGCCTAAACCTTGTCAGACTCAAAACCTCACACTCAGAAGGGAACCTCTCCAACACAACACCCTTTACCATCTGTGGTGTGCAGGTCTGCTGCAGATTGCCTTTGTGCTTTGTACGCTGATTTTGTATTCATCACTAAAGGAACTTTGATCTGCAGAATAGAATTTTATCATCCTATTAATTCCATAGTTTAAAATGAAAGTATTTTCTGAAATCATTTGATAGGTGCAAATCTCAGAAGCAACTTAAACTCTCAGATAAACTGAGTAATAAAACCAGGAAATCTAGGAGAGATAATAAAATTGAACATAGAAATGCCCAGAACTTTAATAACTCACCCACAGATGCATACACTCACCTCCCTACCCTTTCTCACCTTTTGAGTTTGGGACCAGCACGGAGAGTCCGTTCTCCTATGGCAGATGTAGCAGGTGCCTCTTCAGGTGGCTCCATTTTAGTAATCCATCACGTTAAAAGCAAAATGATGATATAGTAAAACATTTGTACAACTTTCTTTAAAAGAAAAATACCAAGATACGAAAAAAAAATAAAGGTGGTGCCGGGGTTAGTTTCTGGTGGAACGTTGTTTGTTGGTATCGAACAGCAAACACTTAAGTGAGAAGAACCATCTGAAAGGACAGATACATCAACATCAGCTTCAGCAGCAAAAAGACTTTTAAAAATATTATAACTTTTGGGAATTCTGTCAGGATTGAGAACGACACCATTCTATCCCAAATGCTCCTCCTTGTCTCACTGCTGGAAAGCAGAAAAATCACCGATTTAGACATTGGGCTCACACAGTGCTAGCTAGCATTAGAGATGGAGCCCACTCATTTTATTAACATTAATTTCCTAATTACCAAAATGCTATGGGACAAAATGTGCTTTTATAAATATCACCAGATTCACTTTAACACCGGCCTTATTTATGTGACAAATATTGGCATGTTTGTGTTACAAAATGATCTCGGTTGCTTTGGGCTCTTTAATTAGTTCCGCTTTCTGTCAGTCCCTGGAATTGATTTTTTGCATGTTTACTCTTTCTGAACTGTGTGTGCAATCCTTATATAAATGCCAGAACCTGGGTGATATGCTGTTCACCCCTGAAGCTTTGTTAAAGTGTTTTGAGAAGTGAAAAATAGAGGTTTCTATAAATCTGCCAGAGACTCACAGCCAGTTTTTTAGAAGTTAAAGAAACTTGGAAATGGGCAGGAAAAGTTTAAATGTGTTTTCTTTAACAGTTTGAAACATCGTATTTCATGTTGCTATTATAAACAGTGTAATGCCCTATTGCCTTATTTGGTTAAAAAAGCAGACAGGCTATATGCAGTGGGTATTCTGCCTTAAAGACTTTTTTTTTTTTTTTTTTAAGTAATTATTAATTACAGCACATGATAGCTGGCAAACCACACTGGTGCTACTGAGCTGAGAAGCCAAATATTGAAAGTTTCTGTTTGAAGGTTCAGTTCATAACCCCTATGTTTGGATTAAGAGCAGAATGTTTGTGTGAATTTTTTTGTAAAAAGCCGAGCTTCCAATGTTTAATGGAAGCTGTATTATAACACAGGCCATGTCTCCAGAGTCATCTGCAAATGAACAGCAAAACAGTTTTAAATACAAACATACATTTCATAAACTTCAGTTTATTTTAATTTTTTTTTAAATGAAGAGATGGATTTTACAGCTGACAGGAGGAGTGGGACAGACAGTATTATGTTCAACATACTGGGGAATTATTTTTGAGCTTTGTAACGAAAACTTCTATTTATCTCCAGTTACGCAACCTCCAGTGACTGGACGTCTAGTCTGGGAAAATGTTTTCACACTATTTTACACCTCATTTTCCAGGTTAGCTACCCGGTGCAATCAATGCCTAAAGATAGTTGTAGCTTTCAAGAGCTCTGTCCTGCTCTATATAGTGCTCAGGCGTGAATCACCACACAGCTTCCCAGCACCCTGATCCCAATTACACAGGGAAGGAGCCGACCGTGCAAGACACTTGTCAGTGCTTGCCCATGTGTAGAGCGGCAGGTCTGGATTCTCAAGTTGTTGAATCACACGAGTATGAAGAACTTCATGCATGATAAACGGGCTTTAAAAATAAAAATGGAATAAAAGAAACACAGAAGCTTGAGGAGACAGGATTCATTAAGACATTGATCAGCCAAAGTTCACAAATCACAAGTGTTGGAGGTGCCAATAGTAAAAATCATCAGCACAAAAATCCCTGAAGTTTATAGCACAATATATAGGACAATATAGCACAAAATATAGCACAATAAGCTGTCTCATTCAAAAATAGGGTCTCTGTCTGTACGAATGGGCTATCAAACGAAGTTCACTATCCTAGCCCCCTGCTCTAAAGCAGCAGAACTTTACTCCCTCTTTTCTCACAGGAGATGCAGGATCTTGACAATTACAGATAGAGAAGAGCCCTAGTGACATGCTCTGACCAAGTGAAAAGCTCCAATTCTCTTCACTTGAAGCTCATGGGTATTTTGCTGGTTTGGGCATGGAACAAAGACTGTGAGGGATTGTTAATACTCAGGGTTTCTTGGCTCTATAATCACCAGTGTTTTCATCAAGTCATTCAAAATAGTTGTGAAAAACTACCCATTCAAACACCCTTGAAAGTGAAATAGAAATGCTCTTTACCTTTATAAAAAAAATCAGATTTTGTTTTTTGATTTGCTTTTCAAAATTCAATTCCAATACCAAATAGAATTCACAGATTTTGAGTTATTCTTGTTTGCTTCCTGGCACTGTACTTGAATAAACCTTCAGCTTGCCTGGCTGTTAGTGTAAATTTGAACTCTAAATTCTGAGCTGAGCACAGGCACTAAAGCTTTTGGGTTGGCACCATTTGAGACATTTGCCATTTTATTGCTGAAAATTGCTGTCACTGAAATGAAATTACTTGACATAACAGCACATAATACAAGAGCTTATTCCTTGCTAAAGAGGAGCTTATGCCTTGCTAAATTCTAACATAATTCTAACATAAATAATGACAGGAATATTTGGGGTGAGAAGAAAAAAAATGAAATGTGGGAGCATTTCCTTCTGGATTTGTTTGTGGGAAATGCATATGAGATTCAATCCAAATTGCTCATCTAAAGCTGCTGCAGCCTCTGGCTGAGCAAGTGCCTGAGCACATTATCCATGGAATAACGACAGGAACGTTTCCTGTCACTTGGGCAGGGCAGCTGGCAAAGGGGCTGTCCTGGTGGTGCTGCTCAGCCCTCGTAGAGGCACAGAGTGGTCCCCACACAATGCAGCCCATTGCTTGCAAGAGGGTTTCACTTCATCTGTAAGGGCTCGCTTTGTCAACCCGCCTTGGAAAGATCTGCAAGAGTCCAGTGAGAACTGTAGCAACAGCAGTCACTGAATTCTCACCCTGGGAGAAAATGGGAAGAGTAATAGGGAAAGTACTGAACACCACATTAAATCGTGGCCCTGCTCTGAAAGGCTGGAGGAGCATCAGCTGCTTGCTGTGCACGCATTCGTCATCTAATAGCAGCAGCTTTCCCCATTCCTGCTGCTGCCAAGTCTGCACAACCAGTACCATGAAACCAGTGAGCCAGAGTCTGCTCTCGTCTCGCACAGGATGAGCAGTGTGGTTTGCTGCATGGGTATGTCTCGCATTAACAGCGTCCCAGGGGCTAATGTGTTCGAGAATATCACTGAAGGCATAACATGGCAAACTGGCAAACCTATTGCTTCTTGTGCAGATCTGCGATTAGGAAATAATCCAGTCGTATTCTAAAGTCTCAGACTAAGATTGTAAGGTTTGAAGAGAAAAGGAAGAAATATAACTACCAGTTCCATGAAATATGAGTGGTTACTCTCTTGTAGCTGTATAAAATTGCGATTGGGATTTAGTAGAGTGAATAAAACCTGCTCAACACAAAAAGCAGGAACCACCAATCTCCTATCACACCCACAGATTTACATCTACAAACAGAATGCTTTGGGCATATTTTCCAAGATCACTATTTATTCAACACCTGCCTATAACTCCAAATGTCACTCTACAAAACTCAAACCTCATAAAATAGATATATAGTCCTATTAAGCAGGTAGCTCATTTTCTTCCTTATTTTGGATTGTATGCCTGCAACAAGCTGCATATCCTCATCAGGTCCAGAACTAGTATAGAAGAGAATAGTTGAATGGAAAGAAAATATTAGAGGAAACTGACAAAGACGATTCTGAATACATTTTGTTAACAGTTTTTTTTTTAGCTTCTGAGAATCCAAAGGGTCTTGTTCCTGGGATGTCAAGTCACAGTGGGGGAGTTGCCAAAAATAAAACATAATTTAAGAATAAATATAAATCCTATCTAGTTTAGAAGAACTCGTCATAGGGTAACAGTTTCCCACAGACTTGAATATAGTTAGGGAAATGGTCCTTGTAAGGATATTTCCGCTCTGGAGGAATCCCCCTTCAGAATTTTAACATGTTATTACAGAGTTACCGCCTCCAGCTGCCAAGAAGAGTCCTATGAGAAAATGACTGCACTGACATTTCTTTGAGATCTCCTCTTTCTCATTTTCCTCCTGGAGAGCTTCTGCCTGGGAGCAAGAGCTGGTGACAGCAGCAGGCTCAGCCCCTCCTGGACCCTGATCCAGCACGCACAAATTCTTCTGTTTCAGTGTTTCTTTACCCCATTCATTCCTGCTTTGTCCAATTTCCCATCAGTAGTGATTAAGCAACATGATTAATGTTAACTACACATTCGCTCTTTCATTGTCTTCCCAGGGGGAGAAGTGTGTACGGTGGTATTTATTTTTACAATATACACACACTCTCACAGGCACACAGGTATGTACGCAAGTTGGAGTGACATCCAATATCTTTTCCTTATACTTTTTGCTTGGAAGATTATGATATTTGGGATAGCCACCAGCTCTGGGGAAAATCATTTCAGAAACTCAGGCTGATGAGCAGGTAAGCTTCCCTGGATGCAATGGGGAATTTTACCCTCCCTATAGGAAACCCCATCCCAGGGGAGGACCACTAGGTTTGTTCTAGCCAAAGACATTGCTGCATGTTATTTAGAGCTGCTGTTATGTAAGAACTTGCTCTTGAGACACAAGGAACATTTTAAAAGGCACTCAAAGCCATGGATGTGACTGACTTGAGACATTTCACCAAGGACATTAAAAACTTGCTGATCAGTTTTCATGAGTTTTATCCCTGTGAGGTGGTTTGTCCTTTGAAAACACGCACAGTAAACAACACATATGGTATGATTAGGTCTAAATTTTAGAAATGAATTTCTATGAAGCAGTTCTAAAATATGATCATATTCTGAATGAAACTAATAAAGCTGGTCTGTTCTGCTTCACGAAGTAATCAAAATCCTTATGCTGGTCTCCTAGTGCTAGTCCATGGGAGCTTCACACATCATGAGTCTCCAAGGATTTAAAAGTACAGCAAAATTTGCAGGAAAAGGGAAAGCAGGATGGTACTCCAAGGAACAAGTGTGTTATTCACGTAATATTTGACCTTTGGCATCTCTCTGTGCCTATTTCCTTTTTCAGTCTTGGTCTGCCTGAGTCTATCTTATTAGAAACCCTCATTATATTTGAGTATCATTACAATACTTAAATAAAGACCTGGGCAACTCCAAGCTTTGGACCTGGACCCATCAAAACTGAGCCTATTCCTTAGTTCTACTGCAGCTCAGGTGAATTTAAGCAAGTTTCATGCTTTCCCTGTGATTCCATACTCTACCTGTAAAACTAGGCTTGCTTCCTTTCTCTGTCACACAGACATGAATTTTGGATTCCAAAACACATGCACATGTCTGAGAACATCTCTACATATAGTGCTAAGCACAAAGGGGCAATGGGTTTTTCTTTATGTCCTGGTATAAACTAATACCATGTCTACTGGTTCAGACCAAATTTTGTCCCAGTGTCAAAGAGCTGCTGCACACACAATAATTCAAATTCTTTTCCAAGCCCAGGAATCAGCTGTTAAGTTCACAGCTGAATTTAAATTGCTCTGAGGTTCACTACCACAAGCTTTTTGGCAAGTCCGCCTTTTTAGCTAGTGAAATTAGGTAAGCTTGATCTATTTTTTTATTTTGATACAGAATTTCACTTTATATCTATTAGAGATAAAACATGCTTCTGCTCTAAGTCAATAATTCCCAAAGCCCAAACTGAAATCCTTACTGAAGTATTAGAGTGGTCAGGGCTTTTGCCCAAGTATAGATTCCTGCATTTGATCCTGTTGTTGAGTCTTAATTCAAGTTGGCATCATCACTGTTATACATGTGCCACTGCAGCCGGAAAGAGATGCTGACATTGTGTGGTTTAAGAAATACATCCTCTAAATGTGGAAATATTTACCCCTCAAGTCAATTCTAATGCTCAGAAGCAGAATTTGAGATTCAGCAAATCTTATAGAAAAGTGCTGCACAGGAATATTAAGTTAGAAGTTTAGGGTGCATATATTGTTCCCTCCTATATATTTACTGTGCTTCATTAGAAATCACTTTTCACCTCGCGCTGCAAAACGATCTGCTTTTAAATGCATTTCCCTATAGAAGTAAAAAAATGTTTATCTACTTAATTTTAAAAGACTGAACATAACTTTGTTTTGGATATTTTTTTAGTCCGATGACGAGCTGCAGTCCCTACTATGCTGCTGACACCACACCAAAACAGAGAAAATATTTGGTAACACTCTCTGCTCTCCAAGGGAATTTGCTCACTTTAGAGGGCTAACGCGATAAAGCAGAAGGTATAAACAGATGTTGCAGACATCTTTGGTGTAAAACAACAGATTTCAGCTGAGTCACACCAGGAATAAACTTGCCCCGGTATGTTTAGATCCTTTCCCTTGCTAAGTAGCTCATTTACTACTCTGAGATTCCCAGTAACTTCGTAGGTTCTGCAAGCAGCAATGCTGGGTGCCTGTGGGCTGGTAGAAGGGCAAATTTTTGCCTTCCTTATTTCCCACATGGATAGCTCCACACTACTACCATTTTCACTCTTTGCAGTAAGTAGCAGAGAGTTTAAAAAAAAATTAAAAAAAAAAAAAAAAGAAAAATCTGAGTTTTTAGAGAGGCCTTCCTAGATCCAGCCTACCACCCTGTGTGCTCATTAGATTCTTACCTCAACTTCTACCTCCTTCCTGTAAACTGCTGCTGACTTCAGGTTCAAAAGGAAACTCAAGTATCATCGTTCAATTAAGCCTGCCATGAAAACGGAAGAGTTTCTTTCTGTAAGAATCAGACAAAACAGTTCTAGCATGGCCATGTAAATATTTCTTCTTCCACCCAACCAGACCATTTTCCAAAAAGACCGAAACAGTTTCCTCTGCAGAAAGGTTCACTCCAGTCCTCTCTCCAGCTGGGCTGCCTTCAGTTTTAATGGGAATTGGATTCACGAAAAGCGGGGACCCATGCCAAAGGTGGAGATTTGATGAAACTTTAGCCCATTAGCGTAAATTAGGGTTTTGCTGGTGCTAGATGGGCTATGGGGTAAACAAGGAATGCTGCTGAAGAAAGAGGGCAGGATGTTGGCACGTGGTAATAGCTGGGAGCAGATAAACATAAGCAGCAGAAATGCACCTATATTCATGCTAAGCTAAGTTCACTGAAGATGACAGGATGATAGCTTTTCAAATTAAATGATTTTACTAAAATATTTTGGGTTTAAAAATACTATTGTTGGTACTCTATATTCCTGACTTTACTATTATACCATATTAATTATGCTACAATAACAATGCACACTGGTGTCATGTATCTAGAAACATGAGCTTCATTTGCTTTATAATACAAAGTTCCCATACTGATTCCTTTTGAGTAAAGACAGTAATATACACACTCTATCCCATCCTGCTACCACTCCACTGCTAGCTTAGACAGAATGAGATTAGGCAAGAAATATGCTTACATATGTTTGGGTACATTACAGATCTATATCTATCCAATGCATTTTTTTAATTTAATACTTCATAATTATTTTTTTATGTATTGACCTGGTGGTAAAAATGCATACATGTAATGTATTCTTAAAAGAAGCAAAACAAATTTAGCTGATAAATACATCCAGCATGTCTTTCCATCATATACGTTGTACATCTTAAGAGCAGAATTTTTGTCTAAATTGCCAGCTCATAGCTATTTTGTGCTGGTCTCCTATTATTCCTAAAGCATCTCCAGGGAACTGGCACTGAAACTCAACTAATTCAGATTAATCAATTGGTATTAGCCAGCTTAATGCCAATAATTGGGAATAATTTTCTGTACCTAATGTTAATTCGAAAAACATATGAAATATATCTTAAGATGCAGAGCTAATAAAGTTTTCATAGATCACTGCTATATAAATAAAAAGAAACCTATGCCATTAAAGCTCTAAAAGCTCAAAGTTACCTAATCCCTCTTCATAATTCGCTTAGTACAAAGATTAATCCATTAGGGCGTCTGTCAGACTTGAACACTACGATCTCTAGAACTACATTTGGTTAATCACAAATTTATTTACTTTTGCAGAAAAAGTGTTACCTCCAAGGATACTAACAGCAGAATATAGTGATTTAGATGCTCAGAGGCTGGGAGCCTTTTTGATTACTCCAAAGGAATCTGTTGAGAAAACAGGATATTATTTGCATAATGTATCAAAATGACTGTTGGTTTTCCTTCATAAAGGCACAACAAACTTCCTGACAAAGATAATATCCTAGCAACTCTTAGTGGTAACTGCAACACCATTGCAGCAACAGAAATATTTACAGTATGTTTTTATTGCACATTAAGTCTCAGCTATTTAAAAAGTTGGAGGAATTGTTCTGTATTTCTAAAAATGGATACCAAGAGCAAGCTCTTGAAAGTATGCATAGTTTGGAATCCAATTGTTTCTTTTCACATTAGATGCAGTACTGAATGTGGAGGAATATTTAATGGACACGGTATTAATACCATTATATGCTGGTTAGCATTTTCAATACATTTTCATCAATAGTGCATTTGTTAGAGAAAGATCAGAAGGGTTAGATAAAGACTAGCAACATTGTAGAGTTTAACATTTACTAAGCAAGTTAAGTCTTGAATATCTGCAAAACCAAAAACCAACAAAAGGCTGGCACAAGATACCATAAAGCTGACAGTTAAAAACTGAAAAACATTTAAATATCCAAATATCCAAGTTTTAATGTATCCAGAAAAGTGTTGAAGAATAACTTAACTTACTAGTCATAGTCTATATACATTATCATATATTCATATGATAAATTTTATCATAGTCTATATACATTATAATCATATATTCATATCATAAAGTTTGCATGTAAATAAAACATATAAATTCTAAATGTACTAACTGCAGAAAATCTGAATGAACTTCCAGCTCTCAAAAGATCACCTAAACAAGGATGATAGCAAAAGGCCAGCACCTGAACCTCCCTGTATGCTCAGGCAGTAGTTACTTGTATGACCTACTCTGTTATAGTCAAGGTAATTGTATTGCTGAAGATCTAAGGAAGTTCTTCACCATCTACTGAAGATGCCAAGGAGGGTAAAAGCCCAAGTATCTCCCAAATAATATCCATTTGTTTGTCTCCACAGTGCCTTTGAGTATGTAGATGGTTTTGCGCTTAGCCTTTAAAGCTACGTTTAAATGGATGTGCAAAACCAGTGTGAAATTCAAGGTCCATTTGCATTTTGTGCAATACTTAAGTTTAGATGCAGATACAGATATTTCATTATTTTCCTTGTGTTTCCAAATTGATCGGAAGACATAAATACAGCCGCACTGTACCCTGGATGAACTCTCTGTCATACATTTTACCAACTATAACTAGAGATTCCCAAGATCTGATGACATCTCCTTTGTGGAGGATACTGCATTAAGAATCCAGCATGATAAATATTTTTAGACTTTTACAGCATTCTCATTGTATGAATAATATTACTCATTTGCTTAATGACCCAAGTCAGAAAGATGTGTATTCAAAGTACTCTATAATCAATCACATTCTTAACTTTAAGTGTGGGTCAGGCCCCTGTGAATTTGATTCATCTATTACTTCACAAACTAACTTTAGGACAAATGAAAAAAAAAAAAAAAGGAAGCAATCGTAAAGAATGCTAAAAACTAGTCCTCTATTCTTTGAGATGCAGAAGGGAAGAGCAGACAAGTCAGCTTATGTTTTCTACCAAATAAAAAAAATAAAAAGTTTAGCATACTTGGCTACTACCATAACCTGTATCTGTAAGATTTTGCAAGGCTTTATGTGAATACAAGATTCTGTGTGCAGTTTTGTCTAATTTGTTTCATTAACTTAGTCAGGAAATATGATATAGTACTTAGGAACATAAACACCCTGCCTTATGACAGTTTGTTGCTATACAAGCAAAAGGCTCTTTTCTCAAAGTCGTGGCAGACACGAGCATACACAAAGATACTCTGCATAGCAGAGACGGCCACCCACAAAGTTATGTGAATTTAATTTTTGATTCACATTCCTCTTCTCCCATAAAAGCCAAGGTGGGCCACAGCCGCTTTCCCATAAAGTGCTGGGCAGGCTCAGCCCGAGCCATTAGGGCCTTGAATGGGGGGAACATCCCTCCCCACCCTGATAAGAACCTCTTTTCGTACATACCAAGGCAGCAAACTTCCCAGCGGAAACACTCAGACCCGAGGAAACATTTCCAGGATATTTTCCTTCCAAATTTTAAAGGAAAGTTCCTGGCAATTGTCAGACTCTTGCTCCTGCCACCAGCCTGGGGAGATCCCACTACTGCAGAGAAAGCACTCGGGCTCTTGGCACCTTGGCAGGTTTTACAGCTGCCAAGCACACGCCGTGGGTGGCCGGAGCCACCGGCTGCTCTTCTGCCTTGGAGGGAGACAGCGAGGGAGATAAGGGCACGGGAGAAAGGAGAGCGGCGCAGAGCGGGAGCGCCCCTCCGGGACGCGCGGAGCCAGTCTCACAGGAGATATAAATTAACTTGGCTCTGGTGATGTCGGCCCGTGATTTTCATGTCATTTAGAAGTACATAGTGTGTTGTGAATAACGAAGGCACGGAGTTAATCCCTGAAAGCAAATTATCTTTGAAAACATACTTCCTCCTAAACTTTCACTTCCACTGTGAAAAATTAATCCATCCCTGTCCCTTTATTACTATTTACAATATTTATCAAAGAGCAGAACAGATGCCCATGCTCTCTGTGACCAGCTAACAGCAGTGCTGGGGTGATCATCCTCACACAGCACTATTCAACATAGGCCAACAGACTATGGCAAGTTGTGAGGATGCATACATATGGTTCATGGTCAGATCAGCTCTTTTTTCAGATCAGTACTGGCTTCTAACAAAAATCCCCCAAACAGGCTGCTATATCACCCTGCAGCTATCACTATTTTGGGAAGAGTTAAGATAAAACTGGAATTAGAACTGGGAATTTTCTCTCTTGGAAAGAAGTCAGAAGCAAGATTAAGTCCGTGAGACCTGCCCACAAATTTCACCCACAAAAGAGAAAAGGCTCTTTTCTCTAAAATCTTGACATTGCTGGTGCTTGATTTGAAGCAGACAGTGAATTTACAGAGAACTTTTGCAAACTGCTGTGGGCCAAGAAAACTTCTGTTTTCCTCAATTTATTTAGCTGAAAAATGACTGCTTTCAGGACAAGGCAAAGGAGTGAGCTCAGCAGACAGGTGTATCCACACCGGCTTTAATCTGTCAAACACGGATGATAAGGGGTGGAAGTGAAGATGAACATGCTGCTCAGGAAGGATTTCAAGCCCCTCAAGGATAACACCCTGAGCAACCTGGTCCAACCCCGGAGCTGACCCTGTTTTGAGCAGGAGCTTGAACCAGTGACCTCCTGGTCCCTTGCAGCCTGAGCTCTCCAACAGTCCCAGATGTAATGTGGGAGCAGGGTGGCAGCAACCATCACACCCAAGGCTGCCAACAGAGCTGTTGCTCCATCTGTCCCTCTGTGGTTCTCCTGTTCACAACAGGATTTTCACGAGCGTGAGTCAGCAGGGCTCAGCCCGCCCTTGGTAGCGGTGGGTGGAGCGGCAGCACCAAGCCCTTTACACCACATTTGTGGGAAAGCAATTTTAGAAAGGCCGCATGGGGCAGGCACATCTCTGTGGAGTTCACTGACCAAGGAGGGCAAAGAGCAGATGGAAACCAAACGCAGAAACTGCTCCCTCCCCGAGGGACGAGGATGACCCCAGCTTTGCAGAGTTTCTGCCCCGAGCACAGCGGCGTCGCCTGGGACATCGCAGCTGGTGGCCCTGGGAGCTGAGCGCAGGGTGTGCAAGTTCAAAGAGCCTTGTCCAACAGCAGCCCCCGGCTCACAAGTGCTGCGGAGCTGCTGCGCACCACGTGGGAACAGGGTCGAGGACGATGCCTCACCGCTCCTGGGTCACAAATAGATGTCCTGCTCTCCAAGGTCCACAAAGTTAGCCTGTCCTGTGCAAGGGTTTGCTGGCCAACGCTTGGCTAGCTCGTGCCAAGAAACACGAGAGTTACTTCAGTGATCACCAGCAACGTAAACCAGCGTTTGGGTTCTCGAGCTGTAGCCTCTAGCAATGCAAAGCCCTGAGTCCAATTCTGCTCTGAGCAGCAAATCCTATCCAGATTTGATAGAAAAGGATAATAAATCTTTCCTCTGCTAAGCATCATGGCAAGTGTCTCTCACAGAAGGCACTCGGAAACAAACCGCTAGCACAGAAGTCACCAGCTACTCGTGACATTGACTTGGACAGAAATTGTGACCAAAGAACCAGGCTTTGAGCACAGATTGCAGTTCTGACTCACTGAAGCTGCAAGACAGATTCGGTTGCTCAAACACAGATATCTTGTGACATTCGACAAAGTCTGGCCTGTATAAAGACATCCATGCGGTAGACAATTTGCAGGACCCTTCTGGAGCTCCAGATAGAGGCTAAGCCTGATGCTTGCGGGCATCTCAGACGGCACTAGATGACTGTAGGCATCGAGATCTGCCTTTGCATTGACCTTCTCCCTCCAAACCGAAAGCACCCCACCACAGCAGGCAGCACGCAGTGATGGGCACCATGTGGGAGTGCAGACAGTGAGGAGGATACCTCTCTGCACGTATATAATTTTTCCTCAGCCATGCTTACGACCAACTCCAAACTTCTCTTTATCACGACCTTGTCAGCTCAGATGTTCATTTACTACAGGCAAGATCTGAGGTTTCTCTGTGTAACACAAGCTTGGCTTCCTATGAGAAATTATGTGATCTTCAGGAGTTAACATCCTGAGGCTGAATTAGTTTTAGCACCTCTTTATTGGGTGGGTAAATATTTACATCAAATTGTTCAGAGTTTAGTATAACAGCTTCAACTCTTCCTGGCAAGAAAGCCAGCATAGGTCACCTTGTCAATGACAAGGCTTCTAGATAATTAAACAACACTCACTGGCCACTAATTTATATGCATTATAACTCAGAGTTAAGAACCTAAATAGACCAATAGAATAAACTCTACAGACACTAAACACTTATTTGCTGTGACACTATTTACATTTAGGCGTACAGGAGGTAGTAAATCAAAGGAGGTCTTTAGAAGAGGAAGAGGACAAATCTTCCTTTTCCAGATATTATCCAA